TAATTTAATCAAAACTCGAATTTGTTTCATTTAAATTTCTATCTCCTATCTGTGTATTCTCTAATTTAATAGGACGAGATCGAAACTTGTTTCGATATTGTTAACAATAATGAAAAGTTTTTTTTGGCGATACAAAAAAAGTAAACAAATTGGCACATTTGTTAGGCTTCCGACATCAAATAACTTTTCCAAACACGTTTTAACAGCACTTTCTCGATTTACTAACGCGAAAATCGGTTTGTAAGTCGCGGCAATCGTATTATTAGGCGCGAGATATTGGAATTTAGAAAGCTAGACTGAATTAAATTTGCATTTTCAGTTTTTTGTTGAAATTCCGAATAATTTAAGTGAGACGATATTTCGTGGTGTTATGTGTGCACGGATAACGAATCTGCAACAATTAAATAATAGAATTTGTACATATTCATAGAAACGCGGGACTTTACTGGACGTGTGAGCAAATTGCGGCTCGAGCGCAGCGAGCATTAACAATATCATTTAGTTTATTATTATTGATACTATACATTATCATTTAAAGGTGAATGTTGTTATAATCAGAGCATCTAAGAAATTGTTGTTTTATTCACTAGTTGAAAAAAATGACTCGCTTTCGACTCGTGAGAGTAATTCTGTTTGTGTGGAAAAAATGCACATTAATTTTTAAATACAATGATATCGTTTTTTGTTTCGTGTGGCTGTTTCGTTTAAAAAGTATAGCAGAACTTGTAACTTTTGGGTGGAACAGCCTGTATATTTGAAAATAATTTTAAATTGTAGTTCTAAATAGAACGCATTTAAATGTTTACTTGTTCCAGTTAATTTGGAATGCTTTGTTTTGATTATAAAACTGGGTAGAATTCTAGATTTAAAAAGAAGTTTTTTTCGAAATTTATAAAGTTTCCTTATGGCGCAATTCGTACAAATATCGTTAATGAGCAAGACCAAGAGCAGAAGCCCCAGAATCAGCCCTGGGTCACACCAGACGTAAAATTTTGTAATAACATCACTTTCGAGTTTCCTCGTTAACTAAGATACTAACAACTGAAGTAAATATTCATAGATATAAAAAGAATTAAGTTTATTCACCTAACGCCCTCGAAAAGTCGATGTAATTACCGGCAGCGTGGGTTTTTTCATTAAGAAAATTACTTAGAATTGTGTAAATAAACAAAGATTAGACGATACACATCTATCTTTTACAAAACTGTGTTGGTTGGATCATACAGGGTGGCCAAAAAATTACGGATTGGCTCGATGGTATAATATAAATTTCTATTTCAGTGTTTTCTTTTTTTTTAGTATTTACTAGTATATTGAAAGTGATAGTTATTGTAATTTCTAATTTTTTTGTGAGAAATATCAACATATTAAGACAAGAGAACAAAATTGTCTTTTTAGATTTTTTTATAAACACTCTGTATATTAAAATTTGATTTTATTGACAATACAAAGTACGTTCTTCTGTTTATCTCTCCATAAAATATAGCAACAAGTTTTTAAATAACATTATTGTGATTTTTTTTTTTGATGAACTGGAATGACCTGGCAACGTCGCATCGGAATTTCAAAAATAAACAATGGTTATTTGATAGTCAGAGTATATCAAAGATATAGGATGTTCTATTAAAAAAAAATAGTTACATGTTATATCTCAAAAACAATACTCTGTATAGTTGCAAATAAATTTAGAGTGTGCTGCTGTCAGAACAATGCAACTTTGGTTTCTAACTTTTTTTGTTATTTCTACTTCATGAATCATGATATATTAAAAACCGCCCGCTTAGTGACTCACCCTGTATATTGTTGTACATGGTGTTTTTTTTATCTTCTGATCTAGTCACCCAAGAACTTGTTGACAAAACAAAATGCGAAAATGAAAGGAAAGCACGATTGAGGTTATGTTAAAGCACATTGTATGTTCCAAGAGACGACATAAGTTAGTGACGTAATGGACAGCAAAAACTAGATCAGGAAATTTAAAAAAATCGCCCGGTACATGACCCACAATCCGCTCATCCAGTAAATATCTAAAGACTTAAATAATTATTGCAGTATTTTACTTTTTTGGGAGAAATATCGACATATTAAAAGAAAAAGAACAAAAGTATTTTTTAGATTTTTTTATAAACACTCTGTATATTAAAATTTGGTTGAATTAATAACATAACAAAATGCGTACTTCTGTTTATGTCTCGATCTCGATAAAATATGGCAACACAGTTTTAAAAAACATTATTGTGATCGGAATTTCAACAGTAAACAATAGTTATAAACGAAGGCAATCAGACTTTGTAAAAATATATAGTATGTTTCATTAAAAAAAAAAAAACTAGTTACTTTTTACGCCTCAAAAACAACAGCATCTAACTTTTTTTGTTTCTTATAATTCATAAAATATTAATGACACCTTGTATATTGTTGTATCGGCTGAATTTTTAAATTTCTGTTCTAGTCATCCAAGAATTTGTTGGCAAAACAAATCTGACCGAAAAGTATGTCGTAACTTGACTTGCGAAAATGAAAAGAAAGCACAATTGAGGTTATGTTAAAACACGTATGTTCCAAGAGATGACTTACGTAATTTAGTGACGTAATGGGCAGCAAAAACTAGATCAGAAATTAAAATAAAATCACCCGGTACATGACCCACGATCCGTTCCTCCAGTAAATATTTAAAAACTTAAATAATTATTGCATTATTTTACTTTTTTGGAAAAAATATCGACATATTGAAAGAAAGAGAACAAAAGTGTCGTTTAATTTTTTTTTTTTTGTAAACACTATATTAAAATTCGGTTTCATTAAAAAGCATTTATTTCTCGATAAAATATCGTAATACTGTTTTAAATAACATTATTGTGATTTTTTTTCTGTGAACTGGAGTGAATTTCAAAAATAAACAATAGTTATAAAATCTACAACGAGGCCAATCAGAGTTTGTAAAAATACATAGGATGTGTTAAAAAAAAAACTAGTTACATGTTACGCCTCAAAAATAACACTCTGTATAGTTGAAAATAAATTTTGTGTATGCGACTGACTTCTAATTTTTTTTTTATATCTCTTATTCATGATATATTAGAGACCGCGCACTTAGTGAGTGACTCTGTATATTGTAATATTGTCCGATTTTTGAAATTTCTTATCTAGTTATCCAAGAATTTGTTGAAAGAGCAAAGTTGGCCGAAAATTATGTCGTAATAACCAATAAGAACTACATATATATGAAAATATTAAAATCTAAACTATAAATTTTAAAAATATGATTTTTCAATGATGTACTTTAAAAAATGTATAGAACCTAGGTTATATATAATTTAAAAAAATTATAAAAAGCGGCAAATTTTACTTTTTTTGTAGTATTTAAGTTAAGTAAGGTTAACTTTTTTCTTATATTTCTTATAAGCAAGCAGTAACCCCGCCCACCTACTTCATTCTAGTAACCACTCTTAATATTCTTCAGTCGTATCTTTGAAGTACTAGTACCGCCCACCCGCCCTCTATTTTCTCAAGCGGAGTCATTTGCCAAATTCAGTCTCATCTTATCAAATAGTAGCCCCGCCCCACCCGCCCACTGTTTAACTACTTGCCAAGATAAGACTGACTTTGCCAAATTCTACCCTTTATTTTCTTAGAGGGTATGTCATTTGGCAAAATCAGTCTTATCTTGGTAGGTACTGGCCCCGCCCACCCGCCCTTTATTTTCTGAGAAGGTATGTTATTTGGCAATATCAGTCTTGTGTAGGCAATTACTAGCCCCGCCCACCCGCCCATATTTTTTTAGAGGATATGCCGTTTGCCAAAATCAGTCTAATCAGTCTTACAGTGTGTTTCCAAGTTTAGAAGATCAATCTCAAGTCGATGTCATTTATACCGACTTTACAAAGACAGCTGATCAAATTGACCAGAATATTCTGTTTAGAAAGCTTGTAAACTTTGGTGTCACTTCTAAATTGTTAAGCCTTTTTCGATCCTATCTGACAGTCCGAACGAACAAAAAAGTCATCACATTTGAGATGAGGGTGGGTGGGCGGGGTTTATATTTTTCCTTTTTTTCTTAATATATGAATGTAGTTTTCTATTCACGACAAGAAATTATCATTATTATTAGATCTTTCTTATTTATTGCCATTTTTGTTAATTGGAGAGACCAACATATTTTCCACAACAAAAGAATATTTTTGATTTCAAAAATAAATCGAAAATTATTGAGAGAAAATTACGGTCTGTATTTACAGTTATCTCATTATTAATTTTTAATAACACGATTAAAATTCTCTTATATTATTATAATAGCTTGCGTTTCATCTTTAGTTTTGATTTAATAGAAAACGTAAACTACGGAAAGTACTACTTTCTTTTTAAGCGTTAGGTCTTTGATAAATATTTTATAAGATTTTGTAAGATTCTTTAGAAAAATGTTCATTATACATCAGTTACCTCTTGACAGGGCTTGTCTAGACCTAACTTGTCTTGACCTGACTTGTCCTGACCTGACTTGTCCTGACCTGACTTTTGGTGACCTGACTTTTCCTGACCTGACCTGACACAAAGTACTCATTTTACTCTACTACAAACCCTGAAATACTTGTTTCTTCGTATTCGTGAGATGTATACGATTTCAACCTTGTATTATATATGTATAATAGTATATTATTTTAATACCATAGTCAAATTCTCTAAAATTTTTAATGAAAAACTATGCAAACTCGCTTTTCTTCGAAAGTACCCGTCTTCGGAATTTAAAAAGTGCCTCGTCCGCTTCGCGAAACATCCGGACGAAATCTCTCCCCGCAGGGAGCTCCGCTAGTTCCGATACTGTTCACTCCGCCATAAAATTAATACACACACTCCGCTTTCTCCCTCCGCGGCCTGCAAACCTCCGCATTAATCGCGTTATCACCCGCACGAGAAACCAACGCAACGCTCAGCCATCCAGAAAACAGGCCAGCAGCAACGCCTCGGTTCCACAGCTCTTCCTCACACTCGACTCTGTGCAGAAAATGAAGATCAAACACTACCCGGGCAAGGCGGTGGTCAACGATCCCGCTTGGCTGGAGATGGACATCTCCAACGACATCCGCGGCCGCCAGTACGAGGCCAACTGGGAGGACGCCCAGAGGAACCTCTCCAGCACCAGCAGCTCGGGCTCCAACTCATGGGACAAGTACAGCGAAGGTACCCTTTCGTCGAAACTGGGCCAGTACCAGAACATGCTCGACGAGCTGGCGCAGGAGGAGCAGCTGTACGCGGTACCCAAGAAGGAGAAGATGAAGTACCACAGCGAGAAGTGTCTAGCGAGGATTAATGGCAACATGGCGAACTACTATTTACCGTCGCAGACGAAGGTGCAGCGGAGCCGCAGCGTGAAGGAGGAGAAGCCGAAGCCGAAGCCCAGGTACTTGGTGGACGCGAGGCAGAGCCGGTACTATCTTAACCCAGAATTAGGTTTATTATATGTGTTAGTAAATGTCGAGGGGTAAGATGGTGTCGGTTCTCCCGGTTCGGGTTCAAATTTTTGCAACGGTTTTGCTCCGCAAGGACCAAGCTCCCGCCCAGCAGCGACGAGAAGTTCAAGAACGTCATCAACGACCTCGAGAAACAGATCAAGTCGGTGAGGTTCGACGACGAGAGCGACGGAGGTGTCACGGAGCGGGTGAGCGAGTGGGTTGACGACCAGAACAAGCACATTTTGGGCGACACAGTGCTGACCCTCACCGAAGAAGTACCCAAGAAGGTACGCCAGCGGATTCCGCCGCGGAACCTCACGCCGTCGCCTTCGGAAGTCAGCGAAGAAACCCCGGCCCAAACCGACGAACAAATCTACAATTTGTACAAAAGTGGGGTGGAAGCACCCAGTACTACCGCGAATAAGAGTGACTTTTTAATTCCGAGACCTAAATTGATAGTTCCTGTGCATACGTACGCGGTGCGGAGAAGAAGGACGGGGAATCTGCAGTGCAAGAGCGAAGAGGTGGTCAAGAGCGATTCGGGTGAGTTGTTTTTTTGGACGGGGATTCGGAGGTCTTCCTACGTACTTGTCTGGGCGCTGCCGAGAATTTCCATTGTGGGTGTGGCGGCGCTAAATGGCCGCTTTGTTGCGGGAAAAAATGACAGTTTGCGAAAGACGTTACAGGAATTCGGTGGGTTGGCCTGGTCGGGGTAATGATGGGTTGGGTGGGAAGGATGGATGAGAGATTTTGTAATGTTTGCAATATAAATAACGTCGTGTTGCAAGTGGTCATTACCGGAGGTACTGTATGATCAAGGCACTAAGTCATGAGTACTCTACGACCATGCAAAATAAACGAAAACATTAACACTTAGAGTTGAAATAGTGGTACCACGTTGCCTAAGTACCTGTACAATACATAAATTAAAATGGAACTTTATTTTTAAGATGTCAAAATCATCGCTCCAACAATTCCCGTTCGACCATCCTCGACAAAAACTCAATCAAGCTCTTCGCCCGCAGCGAGCCATCCGTTGTCTGCACGTCGAGACAGCAACCAGACGCTCCCAACCAAATCGATTCCTCTTTCCCATCACCTTTAACCATAATCCAGCAATTAACCGTAATGACGGTCCCGCGGGCCTGCACGCTTAAAAAAGCTATCGGTGATTCGGTGTCTCGCCGACAACCGGTGCACTTGCTTTATTTGTATTGTAGGGAATTAACGATGATGTTATGTGCTGTGCTGCCGGTCGGTGCTGCGCTCCACCGAGAAATTACTTACGTTGCAGGCGACGGAAATTTATCGAGCCGGTCGTGTCGTGCGGACGCATGATAGATGGTCTTGTTCGATAATGCCGTCGGCTGGGTAGCGCGTTCTTCATGCTGTCGACGAGGAGACTTCGACGGGCGATCACGACGGAAACGCAGGAAGTGCGATTAATTTCACGCAGTCGGGTTTCTACCGTTACAAGTCATAAGTAAAAAACGGATTTTAGGCTAAAAAAGCGATTTTTATTGCCGCTTCAATCCATGAACCCCTCTTGTCAGAACAGGTTCTGGAGGCAATGGACAAACCGGTAAGGCTTTCCGGAAGGCTTGGATCCTCAAATGCGCGTTAAAAAATAGTTTCTTTACGTTGGAAATTAAACCATTGACGTCTTCATATTGATTCTGGATGACTTCAGCTACTAAACTTAAGGCGTGAGCGAAACAGTATGCAGCGCCGTCCGTTAGTATATCTGTATTATTATATTTGAATTAACATTATCATTTAAAAAATTGGGTCACAGAGCAAATTTAAGTTCGCTTTACATCAGTTTACTTACCTTATCACATACCAAAATTGCAAATTTGCCCTAATTATGCAACAATGTTGATACAACCTTGCAACCGTGCATTGGTAAATATAACCAACCTGATTGACGCTACTAAGATACAATTTGAACACTAATGCAAGCGAAGTTAATTTAAATCCATCCTTGAAAAATGGATTTTTTTATAATTTATAGAATATTTGCAACGTATTGCCCATTAGAATTTGTAGTTTCACCTACTCAGTTTCTCTCCAAAAATAACCACCACTTTTAAGCCTAATAAAACAATATACTATTCTCAGATGCACATTTATATAAAACTTTCATGCATTTGCCTACAACTAAATAAAATGAACGATGTTTGACCTAAAATCCCCTTTTTAATCGATATCCCTGCTCTGATGCCAAGTTTGTAAAATCGCTTGTACCTCCTACGTCTATGTCTGTTTTGTTGCTTTTTTCTTTTCCATGTCCTCTAGCTTTCGTACCCACATCATTTTTTTCTTCAGTCACTTTGTTTTTGCAAGTATCGGTGAAAGAATCTTGTGATGTTCTCTTTATCTTTTGTCCCAAATGTTTGAGTCCAGTAATTGTCTTAGAGATTCCACTTTTTTCTGTGAAAGGCTTCATCACCCCATCACTCAGTTTCCAAATTATTAAATTCGCCTCAGAATTTTACTATCCTATCTAATTTTATATATCCGATGTATTTTTTCTGTTCTTGTGTTCCGGAAAGCGAAAGTGGCTGCACGTCCTACAATCCCAAGCAATTTTTTCGGTCTCTGGGATCGAATTTTATATTTTCCGAAAAAAAAAAACGGAAATTACGACCTTCATTGTTCGACCATTCAGATTTTTGGAACAATTGCTCTCTTCATATATTTCGAACTTTAAACCTTGTAAAATTTCGTCTTTAATGTTTAATGAATGATATTTTTTAGAATCATTGTGAAAGTATAGTTTTTTTTTTTTTTTGGAATTAGATCCCAAATATCCAGTGTTCTGCTTCTTCTGTTTTGTGCCGCCTGTGACAGAATACTTTCTAAATCTTCTAAATATATTACATCAACCAAGATTTATTTTCGTCTTCCTTCTTTTTTTTTGTCTTCAGTAATATGGTATCTGTATTTTTTTCTGTTTCTATTAATTGTGTTTGTAGTCATTTACACTGTAGTCATGACAAATTTAAGCTCTTTAAGCAACTCCTAAAAATTTCTTTGATACTGAACTTGGGCTACACTATCGAAACTTGTCACAATTTGTTTCTTTTTGAATGAACCTTAAAACACTCCTAAAACCCCCGATAAACTTTACTGAGTCCAGTCTTGTATTGAAGTCCAAAAATTTTAGGCTTCTTGTTAAATTGAACCCTTCCATAATCTTGCTTTCAATTTTCGAATGGTATAGAATTTCATGAAATATTGAGAGTCCTGGTAATTTTTTTCTTGAACTAAGTATGTATCCCAAATATTCAACGCAATATTTTGTGTTTTTTTTGTCGTCTTTGATAGGAATACTTTGTAAACGTTCTAAATATACATCAACTAACATTTCTTTCTCTTCCTTCTTCTGTTGTCTTCAGTGATTTGGTGCGTACCTATTTTTTTTTTTTGGTCATTGGTTAAATCTTTCACATTTCTCAAAATGGTTGGTCCTGGATGAATACTGTCTTTTCCAAATATTATTTTCAATTGTTGGCCATCATTTACGCGGTAGTCATGACAAGTTTAACTTGTTTGAGCAGCTTCTAAAAAAATTGTAGTACTGAACTTAGTATACAACATCAAAACTTCATAGAATTTGGTTCTTTTTGAATGAACCTTAATGAATTGAAATTCCTGATAAACTGTTCGCAAAGCCCAAAAATTTCAGCCTTCTTTTCAAACTGAACCCTTACAGACTCTCGTTTTGAATTTTCGAATGGTGTAAATTTTCATGAAAACTTCCCCATTTTTACGATTTTGATACTGAATTTAGTATACACCATCGATACTTCATAGAATTTGGTTCTTTTTGAATGAACCCTATTGAATTGAAACTCCTGATAAACTGTTCGCAAAGCCCAAAAATTTCAGCCTTCTTTTCAAACTGAACCCTTACAGACTCTCGTTTAGAATTTTCGAATGGTGTAAATTTTCATAAAAACTTCCCCATTTTTACGATTTTGATACTGAATTTGGTATACACCATCGAAACTTCATAGAATTTGGTTCTTTTTGAATGAACCCTAATGAATTGAAACTCCTGAAAAACTGTTCGCAAAGACCAAAAATTTCAGCTTTCTTTTCAAACTGAACCCTTACAGACTCTCGTTACAATTTTCGAATGGTGTAAATTTTCATGAAAACTTCCCCATTTTTACGATTTTGATACTGAATTTGGTATACACCATCGATACTTCATAGAATTTAGTTCTTTTTGAATGAACCCTAATGAATTGAAACTCCTAATAAACTGTTCGCAAAAACCAAAAAGTTCAGCCTTCTTTTCAAACTGAACTCTTACAGACTCTCGTTTTGAATTTTCGAATGGTGTAAATTTTCATGAAAACTTCCCCATTTTTACGATTTTGATACTGAATTTGGTATACACCATCGAAACTTCATAGAATTTGGTTCTTTTTGAATGAACCCTAATGAATTGAAACTCCTGAAAAACTGTTCGCAAAGACCAAAAATTTCAGCTTTCTTTTCAAACTGAACCCTTACAGACTCTCGTTACAATTTTCGAATGGTGTAAATTTTCATAAAAACTTCCCCATTTTTACGATTTTGATACTGAATTTGGTATACACCATCGAAACTTCATAGAATTTGGTTCTTTTTGAATGAACCCTTCTGAATTGAAACTCCTGATAAACTGTTCGCAAAGCCCAAAAACTTCAGCCTTCTTTTCAAACTGAACCCTTACAGACTCTCGTTTTGAATTTTCGAATGGTGTAAATTTTCATGAAAACTTCCCCATTTTTACGATTTTGATACTGAATTTGGTATAGACCATCGGAACTTCATAGAATTTGGTTCTTTTTGAATGAACCCTAATAAACTGAAACTCCTGATAAACTGTTCGGAAAGCCCAAAAACTTCAGCCTTCTTTTCAAACTGAACCCTTACAGACTCTCGTTTTGAATTTTCGAATGGTGTAATTTTCATGAAAACTTCCCCATTTTTACGATTTTAATACTGAATTTGGTATACACCATCGAAACTTCATAGAATTTGGTTCTTTTTGAATGAACCCTTCTGAACTAAAACTCCTGATAAACTGTTCGCAAAGCCCAAAAATTTCAGCCTTCTTTTCAAACTCAACCCTTACAGACTCTCGTTTTGAATTTTCGAATGGTGTAACTTTTCATGAAAACTTCCCCATTTTTACGATTTTGATACTGAATTTGGTATACACCATCGATACTTCATAGAATTTGGTTCTTTTTGAATGAACCCTATTGAATTGAAACTCCTGATAAACTGTTCGCAAAGATAAAAAAGTTCACCCTTCTTTTCAAACTGAACCCTTACAGACTCTCGTTTTGAATTTTCGAATGGTGTAAATTTTCATGAAAACTTCCCCATTTTTACGATTTTGATACTGAATTTGGTATACACCATCGATACTTCATAGAATTTGGTTCTTTTTGAATGAACCCTAATGAATTGAAACTCCTGATCAACTGTTCGCAAAGCCCAAAAATTTCAGCCTTCTTTTCAAACTGAACCCTTACAGA